GCTTTTTTCGTTCATGTGCGCTTCCCCGCTGTTTGCTCGCTGGAATATATATATATATTATATATGGTCCGAACCCTTTGGATTGGTCCAAGTCATGTGAGGTCCCGTGAGTTATGTCAAACAGTTCTTTCCCCAAAACCACATTGTTCTAGAGAAATTCAGAAGTCTAGCAGAACCAGGAAGAGTCCTTGCTAAGACCTGATTCCCTTGATTGCTATTGATCATGTCTTTAATCTCAGACCATCTATGAATGTATGCAAGAGTTTCCTGCATAAACAATGGGTCATTTTCATGAGGTGAATGTATAACATGATTTCTCCCTAGTAGCTTCTTGCTACTAACAACAATGGCCTCCAACCTAGTGGCGATGGCCTCCACCCAGTCTTGCTACCAGTACCAATGGCCTCCAACCTACGACCCGCGATGGCCCGTCCATGCCGTCTCGTTCGTCGTCCGATTCGTCCCGGTGACCTGAGGCGCTGCCCCATGGGATGGAGAAATACTCCTTGGTGCAACGCCTTGGGCAAGGCACAACGGGTCGTCCCTGGTCGAGTCGTCACCAGGTCGTCGTTTGCTTCCCGTCTCGTTCCCCAGTTCCAGGAGCATAGGGTCCACCAACTGGGTTGAGAGAAGCATTGTTTGGGTTTGAGACACTTGTTTTCGGAGTGGAGTCGGATCCTCAGCTGACACCCAGAGAGGTCTGGACCTGCCCTGCGCGAAATCCCGGGCATGGCGAAATCCCGGACATTTGGGGTCCCAACACCTGCACCACATGGAAGTACTATTATATAACCCTGGGAGTCCAAAGACGATGTTGGGCACCGAAGTATCGGACATTGAATAAGAAAGGCCAAAGGTATCGCGTGCCCCCGCAAGATCCCATGGTTAAAATGGGTCCTTGACGGACTGAATGATCATACATGTCAGTCCGCGCAGTCTCGTGACTGAAGTGGATTGATCGCTGGGTCGATCGGGGAGGGTTTTTCAATCCCCAGAGATCTCTGAGCTTGGAGAAGGTATGTGCATGCAGACTCTTATATTATATAAATATTATAGTTGTGTTACTGTGTTGTGTTATTTAGTGCTATTTTGTGGTCCAGAGCTTGCACTGCTAGGTTACCTGGTTCGGAAGCCGCGTGAGGATTTGCGATGACGTGAGATGACATAAGATAACTCGGGGCAAGTGTTTGGCTCAAAGGAAAGTCCTTTTGAAAGGGTCTCGGCATCCAGTACCAGTTAGTAGTTCTTCCCCAGTGCTCATGGTGAAGCTTCGTTATCAGCGTACCTTCATCGATGCAGAGCATGAAGATGTTGACGCAGCCCAGTTGTTTCAGTCCGGCGTGAGATGTGTGAGACTTTAGCTGTAAGCTGTATAGGCAGGTAATGGCATAGATGAGAAGGACAGCGCGGAGCAATACCTATGTGTTCCCATGTCTACATACTTGTCGATGATGTAGAGGCCCTGCGGTGGTCGACGACCATCACTCTCGTTCTTTGAGACGAAGACTCTGCTTCGTGGCACCGTCCACTCTGTGAGTTCCCGTCCGCGATCATGCAGATGTTGAAGCTTGGTGTCTTAGCTGGGTGTCCCTTTTGAAGACACAGCTCCCTCTAGTCAGCCGGAGGTGGAGGGATTTCAAGGGCCGTTCCAACACCGAGCTCGGCCCACGGAACACCCGTTTCACATCGCGAGCGGGCGTAGTTCGTTGCCGCTCCAGGTGTGAGCAAGTGTTTTCTTTTTCTGGTCGAAGTCCAACACTGGGTGTTGTTGCCGTTTTAAAAAATGATACTGCTAAACAGTATCATGTTCAATGTTGCTCCCCTGCTTGGCTCGATTTCGCCCCTCACAGCTTCTTCGCAAGATTGTCTCTTGCAAGACAATCTGTTGAGAGAAACCGATGCATCAAGAGGACACACGAGGCTGGAGCCACTTGCTCAGAGAGTGGACCATGGTGTGGACCCCACCCCGTGTTAAACAGACGTAAACGATCTTTTTTCATGGTTCAACATGAGTATCATGAGTCTCATGGCGCGACTTAATCTTTCAGGCATACTGCATGCGACAAACTTACCTTTTATTGTGGTTGGCATGTGTGATTGTTTGTCTTCGCACGGAAGTTAAACATGTGAATGCCTGCTCATTTCAAGCTGTGCCAACGCCGTGCGAACAACAGACGCAGGCTCTTTTGCGGTGGTTTGGAAGGCACGCCGGAAATCGGTGGGGAGTCCCAGCGGTGGTTCCCACAGGGCAGTCGACTCCATGGGACTGACAGTGGGACTGACATACTCACACCCCCCCACAGCGGATTGAGAGTAGATGGCCCAATCACCAAGGTCGGTGGTTTAGTAGTGGAATCCCCATCTAAGACATGTTTTTCGGGGTGCCAGTGCCATCTACTCTGAAACCACTGTAATTTCATCATATAATATACCAACATTGCGGTGGTTGACTTGGGGTCAATGCATCTGGAGTGTTTGAGACAACATGAGGGGTGCCAGAGTTTGGGCCCCCAAACGACCTTGAAGGGGTGCCTGATTCGGGGTCGAGAATCCGGTTTGTTGCAGGTTTGACTGGTGTGGAAGGGACTGTTTGATGGCTGGCGAGTGAAGCTCGTTCCCGGAGCATGGCTGAAGTCAAGCTCGCTTGGTAGAAGAAGCATGAGCTTTTTGGCTGCTGGCTGATTCTGCTCAAGGAGATGTGGTGGCTGAATTCAGTGTTTGCCCGTTCATGTCAAGCACCATCAAGCATGCTTGAGACAGGTGCGAGAGATTGTGCTCCATATTAGAGCGCCCGTCTCGGCTTCATGCGTATTGAATTCAGGTACCAACCCCCCTAGTAACACTGGAACTGCTCAACAGAGCCGCTGAAGTTGTGAGGCTTCACCTGCTTATACTGGCTTCACCTCTGAGGCTTCACCGTCCACCCAGCCGGGCTATTTTAGAGGTTTGCTTGGTTGTGCTTGACTGCTTGACCTTCTCAAGACATAAGTATATGAGAGTCGACCGAAACCCCCAAAACATAAATTTAGACCAACGCAAATGTGAAAATATGTGAAAATCAGACCTTGCATGTTCATGTATTTTTCTTTAGTGAGCGCAAGCAGCCGCAAGGGCGAGCGCAAGTTAATTGTCTAGATTATTTGTAGATTGAAATGCAGGTGTATTTATATATGAGATGAACTGGACAACCTTGGAAACTCTATAATGTCGTAGCTATTTGGCAAAGGCTCAAGGTGGATTGCAGCTACGTTCTTCAATTTTCCTTAATTTCCGTGAGACTTCGTTTTTTGGCCGTGAAATGCAAGCATCTATGTTCCGCAAGTTTTCCGCAAGGTCAGCGCAAGCGAACGGCGCAAGGCCAGCGATGCCATGTGACCCATGGCCCACTGGACAACTTCAACAAGTGGAAGCTGCGTAAACCAATCAGAAAACCATAGAAAAAACCAAAGGAGCAGGCAAAAGGGTGATGGATCTTTGACTGCTAAACATGTCCGTGACCTTCGAAGTGGCATCCGAGACATGCTGATGCAAAAAACGGCAGAACAGGAAGTCCTGCGAAGATTGGAAAACGCAGCCTGACAGG